TCCGGAGCGTGATCAGAGTCGTCAAGATCACAACCTGAAGATCCACGTCAACGGGTTTAACAGTGGCAGAATCTGGCGCTGGAGGCTACGACGGACACCCAATCCGAAGAAGTGGAGGTCGAGAATCCGCCGATACCCGCGGTGGAGCGGCCCGAATATGAAACTCCGCGCGCAATACTCCAAAGACCGAGGACAACGTTGATCCAGTGCCGGGAGGTCGAAGCGAGTCAGGATCAAGATATTCCTGACTGCTCACTTTCCGACGAGGCGTCGTCGAAAAGTCACCGTCGGAGATGCGACCGTTCGATCGAGCGTCTGTCGCGAGTGAGGAGTCGGATCTGTCGTCTATCGCAGACGGAGACTCTATATCGAAAGCCGTAACGGTCAAGGAGGCGCTGGAAGATCTCGATCAAGTGACGCTGGACATATGGGCGACTGATCCGCTGGTGGAGAAAACCACAGACATGGAAGTGGACAGGGAAAGACCGGGAGAAGAAGATGGCCGAGGTGACATTGAGGACGTCAGCCTAGATCAAACACATGCGATTGGGCAAGATCAAGGAACAACGCCGTCGGAAAGCGGTGGGGCGGATCTGCCATCAATGATGAGTATACAGCCTGGGACAGGACATGTGACTGGTGATCTGTTGAATGACAAGTGTACCACGTTTATGTCGCAGAAAACGGACATGGATCCACCACCTGTTGTGGAAGATCAACCAGACACATCGGATCTGGATTTTACCTGGGACTCAGATCAAGATTATGATGAATGCGTGTATTACCATGAAAGAAGCGATTTATACGCCGAAGATGTCGATGGTCAGATGGCGGTGCTGCCCGAAGGGCCTGTCACGACGGGAGATGTGAAGATCGGCGATATTCAACTGTGTGGATCGACAGTCAAACTCCAGAAGAGATCGAGCGACTTTGCCAAAAGATTTGGAAGTTCCGACACCTCTTGATCGGGAAAGGAAATGCCCTCCCGCCGGCCGCTAGAGGCGTGGTGTGTGATATCGACGTCGGAGGAGCGAGACCCATCGCCCTCAAGTGTCGTAAGTTGCGGATCCAGTTCAGAGAAAAGCTGGCAGACCTAATCAAGGGTCTATTGTCCGCCAGGATGGTCAACTATTCCAGATCACCATGGGCTTCCCCCATCGTGGTGAGCATTAAGAAGAATGGGGTGGACATCCGGCTATGTATCGATTATCGGCTGGTTAATAGCCTGACACAACTGATGGTATACCCAATGCCCTTGATCAACGATCTACTCGAAGATCTGGAGTCGACACTTTGGTACTGTTCTTTGGATATGACAAGTGGATTCTGGGTAGTGAAAATGACGGATCGTGCTCGTTTGATCTCGGCTTTTGTCACCCCCTTTGGACAATTCGAGTGGAATCGAATGCCTTTTGGCCTGAAGAATGCGCCCCAGATCTATCAACGTATGATCGATAACGCG